CGTAGCGGCCGTACCCGCTAACACTAGTTTCCAGAAGAATAAACGAATAGAGAGAGTAATGCATAGAGATGCAATGGAAAAGCAGGTTGACAACCTGATTAGCAATGTGTGGAATCGCGGAGAACAAATGAACTCGCAAGTTCCAATGTTTTCTGAATATCGCCCATTGGAACCCCCCCCCCCCCCCCCCCCACTCCCCCCCGTAATGACGCTAATGACGCATAGAATGTGAAAAAGCAATATTGTCTCCCCTGTTTTCTTTGAAGAAATCAGCACTTGATAGATGCTTCGATGGTCCATCTTGGGCCAGGCAGGAAATGTTTTTCAAGTATCGGCCCTGCTAAAGTATTCATTAGCGGCATTTCATAATTTTGGTCTTGGGTAATAACCTATTTGTTACACGAAACTATTCATGATATGAGACACATGAGAGACCATCAAGTGATGTCAGACATGTCCTCCTTAAAATTTGCAAAATGAAATTAAAGGGTGAAAGAGAGTGATCTCTTGCAAGCTTAGCTGAAGCGGAATGCGAGGCGCCACTTCACGGATCTGTGTAGACATATCTTTTTTGGTCTGAAGAGACGCGCTTTTTAGTTTCAGCGGCGTCGAATGCAAATACGACACCAACAACACTGCACTCGGGGGATTTCCATGCAGGCGGTTTGTTTTCGTCGTTATATTTTGCGTGCCTCAGGCGCTCACAAGCTGTCTGACGCGTTTTCCCCCGTTTGTATTCAAATAAATTAAGTGATATGAGCATCTGAAGAAAATCATTAAAGTGGTTGTGTGACCGCGGACTTAAGACCAAGTACAATGTACAATTTCATTAAATTAACAAATAAACCGATCGAGCGAATGTTTATGCCGCAAAATGATTCCCCCATTTAATCAAAAGAAACCGTTTTTTTTTATTGAGACAGAACACGATGATTTTGAGAAACATACATATTGACTCCTTACGTTGACTATATTTGCCGCCATAGTTAAGATTCTAAATGCGCAATCATAAATATACCTTGCACAATTCTTATTGCAAATCTTCATCCATTATCACTGAGCGGACCTCTACTGTGATTGTAGTTGACCTCTCAACCCTTGTGCTCTCCTCCATCTACACATTCAAAGTGTGCCAGTGCTACCGCTGACTCCTCTGCCTCCTCTAGCCACCTGACACGCCTGTACACCTTCCGCGAAGCCCTCCACCCTTTCTACTTAGCAGAGTGAACGGCGAACGCCGAAGGGGAGGCGAGTCTCTCCTTGCCTCGTCTCATCTCCTCTCCGGTGTTCCCCCTGCAGAGTGGAAAGAACGGAGGGCTTCACGGGAGGAACTCGGCCTGCTTTTCTTAACTAGCAACAGCTTATAGCCAGACGGGTTATAAAATCATATGCAAAAGTTGCGCACATAACGATGGCATGCATTCAAGTAATAAACACAAATATCAGACGACTCCACAGAGGGAGGCAAAAAATTGGGGTGAAACGCGACCAAAAGCACATGCCATACAACGCATTCGCCCAGGCGCGAAGGCGAGAGAGCGGAGCGACGAGTTGAAGCCACCCTATGCGGCCGCGTCATGTGGTTTCAAGATGGCAGCGCCCAGGCGACGAAGGGTGAAAAGGTCTTGAGAGACGGCGTCGTAGGTTGGAGGTGGGCGGCCGTCAAAGGGAGAACCGTCACGTTGTTTTTCTGACCAGATCGTGCAGCGTTTCGACAACCAGTGGACTTTCCTGAGCAGGGACGTCCTATCCAGAGCGCCGGTGGCCCACCACCCCGACGACTTGTTCCAGTGCCAGATGCGTTCCTCGGTCTCGGAGTGCCTCACGTTCTCCTGCAGTCGCAAGTACGCACCGATGCTAAGCACCACCTGGAATGATCAAAGCCCGTGCCATTTCGACGTTATCAACGCGAGAGATCGAGCGCAGACAAAGATTGGGCCAATCTGCCGCGTCGGCGTTCGGCGTCCAGTCGCATCAACGCGTCGGAGGACGATAGGCGTTGAAGTTCCATGAAGATAGAGGAGGCTCATCTCTCGCTTTTATTATTTTAGGTGGTGTTGGTTGATCTTGACCCGCAGGCTTATCAACGATAAACGGTCTCGACTCATTTTGCACATAATGTTTAGGGTGAGGATTTTATTATAAAAGGTCTCCGAAATGTGCAGCGCGTAATTTTCACCCGAATTGGTGCATGAAACCAACTGAATTTCTCCGATAAATTTAGATGAGAAAATCTTTCCACTAAATTAAGCGGGGCGTAAGGCTGTTAAATGTTGCGGAATGCAGCCTGATTCTAGCGGGCTGTAAAAAGCTTATAAATAAACATTATTTTTTTTTTAAGTGAGAGTTTTCTTGGCTAGGTGTTTGGCATTTCGTGAAGCCCAAAAGTGAAGCCTAGATACAAGCGTGGCCGAGGGGCTCGATACTGATCGGTTGACGGGGTGACGGGGAGGAGTGAGGTGCTCGACGCTGATTGGTTAACGGGTAGGTCATGTGACATGGGGTGAAGTGAGGAGGAAAGGTGGGCAAGGTGGGAGAGAGGAGTTAGAAGGTTCTGGAAGATCACCAGGTTTATTATTACAAGTGTACACATGCCACGCATTAAATTATCCGACGAAGGGCGTTTCTTATGCTATTAACGTAGCCGTCTGGCTGAACAGGCTACACGTGCTGCTAAACGACGATATAAACGTTTGCGGTGCCAGAACGTTTTACGTATGCAGCCCAATTGCCTAGCAATTTAACATATTTTTTATTTGTCTGTTTCCCGTACGGTTAGCATACGGATGACGTACTACAGGTATCCGAACCAGATGTGCTACACGATCGACTCGTACCAAGGAACGAACTCCACGCACCCGATACACCGGTGTCCCTCTCCGTGGAACTACGGTATGGACGTGGCTATATACTTTCTCCTTCTAGGTGCCAGAACCAGCATGCATGACAAAGCACATTCCGTGGGCACGAGATGGCGTCTTTCAGTTATTCCGCTGCTGTCCGTCGCCATTCGATTCCAATTAGTCTACAACATTACGCATTCGGATTGTCTCCACTCGTAAAACGAGCCAAATCTACCTTTCATCTTCTCCGTCCTCGTAAATGTATTGACGATTTTCACCACGCATTTTCAATCATATACCTTCACGGCTTCGGCTTTAGGCCGCCAGCCGCTGTGAATATACTTGATTCGCTCGAGAAGGTTGGCGAGCGGAACCTGCCACCACGGCTTTCCAGCTTTCTGTTCTTGCCGCTGTGTACAGTCGATTTCGCTAGAGTCGTCAGTACCTTGCAAACGGCCCGCATAACGCGAAAAAAAAAAAAGAATTCCTCTATTTTGCCTTTTCGAGTGCGCACAAATCTCAAAATTATTCCTGATCACAATTATATGTTGTTTTCTTTTGTTACTTTTGCGAGTCCGTGAATCCGAACCGTGCGCGGACTTGGCGACTTAGCGCTCAGCTTTGACCCGCGCACCGCAGAGCTGATCCTGCGCGCCCAGTGGAACAGAAGCGCGACCGTATCTCTGCACGAACCCGAGGCGCTGCCTCTGGTGATTCACAGCCCGTACACCTGTCCCCCGGACAAGCTCTCTTCCGTCATGGTTCAGCCCGGGATGACCTACACCGTCGCTGTCTCGCAGGCAAGTGTACACAAGGCGTAGTCCAGTCGCAGCTACACTGCGCAGACATCATGCAAAAGACACGGCGTTCGCTGCTCACATGATGACAGAATTATCTGCTCCTCACGGATGTTCCATGCGTGTTTTCTTCATACGTGTGTGTCCTTCGAACAGGACTGCAGACAGTTTCTGGTACGACCAATGTGACGTCATACAAGCAAGAAACACGCCTCAGGTGCAGACTGTCTTTTGTACGATGTATATCAGCAGGGTAGCCGCGGTTTCAGACCTTCGAAAGAGGGCACATTTTCATTCGAATTATAGTGAACGTTTCACGGAACCTAGAGGTGGAAATTTTTTTTTTTTTTTGTGAAAATTACGCATTGTGGGAAAAGAAAAAAAATACTGGTGCCGTATTAGTCACTACCGAGGGACCATTTTCTGAGGTATACAAAGTTTCAGATAATTAAGTCCTTCACTGGTCTCGCAAAATTCACTTCTTGGATGGTGAAAATAAACACGTGGCTCTAATAGAACCGATCTCACCAGCCAGCTTGGTTACGCCCAGCTGCTGCGATGCATTTCTGTACGAACGACAATCTAGCTGCAGCTCTGCGAGTGCAGAGCACGATACTTCATGAGCCGTCTCGTGCACTGCCGCCTGCCTCCCGTGTGCACTGAAGCGTAGTCTCCTTTATTCTGGAAAGCGTGTCAATTCCACGACGGGGCCATTGATTGCGCGGCCGCCGGAAAAAGACGAGGTATGCGATAGCACAGAGCCACTTCTGGGCTAACCTTTTAGCCAGTGCCAACAATACGCGCGGTGAACTCTCCGCAAAACAAGAAACCGCAGCGTTCGTTTTTTTATTTTTTATTTTACCGTTGGGGCATCGTTTGGCGCTGCCAGAGAGAGCCCTTGAGCGCGCCCTCTTCTCTGATCTCTTTTTCCTTATAGAGCGGCCACGTTCTTTCCTGATTTTACAGGTTTTGTAGAATAAAGGAGGCTATGACAACTGAAGGCGGTGTCACGCATGCGCCAGACGATGGGTGAGGTCGGTTTATTTTCTTGACCGGTTAATCATGCCCCCTCGCTTCAGCCTTAAATAAAGAATAAAATAAAAAAGTGCATTAATATGTTTTAGTGAATTCGCTAAGTGACCCATGTCGCCTCGTTCGTAGTAGTCATTGTGGCCACAAATTTGGTTCCCGGGGCTAAAGTAACGTTGATACAAGTTATTGTTTTAAAACTTCTGTACCGACTAAAACAAAACGCCCCGTATGTCTACGAACTTCTATATGCCATTCACCGCGTGCAGAAAGTATTCTACATCGTGCACGCACGATGTTCAGGTTGACCGTCTTATTTCTTCGACGCAGGAAAAAGCGAAGCGCCTCCCGTCTCCGTACAAGTCGAGATGCTCCGACTACAAGTCCCCCGGGATTCAGGACAAGTACTTTGGCTACCTTACGCAGGACGTGAGTTGCTCTCCAGCCTTCCCATCCAAAAGTGTGTTTTAGACGAAGCTAAGCAGTTTATGTACGCGTTTCTTTCATTTTTTTTATTTTGTCACAAATGCTATGAGATGCCAATACCATCCATGTCCTTTCCCAAGACTTGCATTCAAGACTGCGAGATGAAGCTGGAGATAAAGCTCTGCCAGTGTGTTCGCACCATCCACGAGTTTGCGGCAACGTTCGGCGGCCAGATCTGCGACCTTATCAGGGACGGTAAGGACTCCCGGCTTTTTTCTTTTCTTCCTAACCTTAAGCAGTCCACGACCTTTATCGACCCTCCAGATTTTGGTTCTCTTTGTTTTAACCGTTTCTTCGACCCTTTCCGAGCGCTATGGTGTCAAAATATACCCTTTTCAAAAGTTCGTGCCACTTGTGTTTGCTGATGCGAACACCAGCGGTATGTCTGTCCCTTTTTCTCTCTATATTCTATTTTACTCTGTTCAGCTCGCCCTATTCAGAGCCGTATATTAGAAGAGTTTGTTCAGTGGGCGGGAGAAGAGGCCGCCGCCAGCGCCGAATACTCCTCCAGCGGTTAGAGCGTAAACTAAAGGTGCGACACAGCCTCGACCAATTAGCCGACCGCGACGTCACAATATTGGAAACGACATTCAAAGCGTGAAACAGAAACGTTCAATCTCGGCCTCTCGGTGACAGTTTGCTCTGGGCCGGCTTGATAAACTCCGCGACAACTTTTCTTGGCATTTCCGGGAAGAGGAGGAGAGCTCGCGCACAGCCTTATTCGGCGCTCAAAATGGGAGAGGGAACGTCGTGCGTGTACCTCCCATTGCATTGCCAAGAAAAGTTGTCGCGGAGTATAGAACAGCGTCTCAGCTGAGACTGGTTGAAAGAAAGCAGTGCAAAGGGTGGGGCGCGCGAGCGTCTTGAGACGCGGAGTCCCGCTCGGCTCGTGCGCTGACTTTGGCAGTGCTTTCTTTCCCCGTCTCAGTTGAGACGCTGTTTCTAGCAAGTCAGCCCTGGTTTGGAGGACACGTTCGTTTATTCTACCCTTGAATATGGGCGTGACAAAAACCTCACATGCGCCAAGTTTTCAGTCATCAAGACTTATGCCTGTTTACTCGAGCGACTCTAAAACGGTTTAAATTAGTCGAGTCGCGTTTTTAGAGCTCATGTGGTTGGCTCCGAGATGCTCGGCTATTCAAACCAATGTAGGGCCAAACTCTCCCAAAATCTCGCCCTATTATAGTATTCGCCCCATCTAGTGACTACTGCGCCACTTATCCAAGTCCGCCATTGTTTGGGAACGTACTCTGAGCATGTATTGGACACGAAACTTACGTCGGCATTCGGCGGGAACTCGGCTCAGCTCGTGTCGGAAACAAATGCCGGGTCAGCGTTCGGTGAGTACTCGGATCAAATCCCGCGATTCTCGTCGAAGAAATGGCGACCTCGTCAATGTTACCCGGTGGAACTTCGAAAAGGGTCTATTCCAGGGTCCCGCGATTTCGGTAAATACAGAGAAACCCCAAAGAGTAACTCCAGAGCCGGTTTTCTCACAATTGGAGAAAAATGAAAAGTGCCATATTGGAGCTGTCCTAAAGTAATATTTGTAATAATAATAATATAAATACTTTATGAGTTGTGAATCTGAAAGTGTGAATGTCGTTCTTCCGATCCCTTAGTTCGCCTGCGTCCACGTTTCGCTACTGCCGAGGTTGCGGCCGGCGGCCGAGCGCGCGCTCTCATGGGCAGAACATTTTGTGACGCTACTGGTGCTGCGATTAAAATGACCTAATGTAACGGCTTATGGCACGGCGAGTGGGCCACTACGCCCCGCCAGTTTGAAGGCGTTCAGTGGAGTTGCACACCTGGCAGGTACCTGAGTGCTCCCCTTCACCACTTAAAACAACCTTCAACTTGCCGGCATAATGTTAGGGCCGAATTGAAAGATCGCACAGCAAAATAAAATTCCTTTTTACGAGGTCCATAGTGTGCAATATGTTCTTGACTGCAAAAGTGTGGTTCGTGTTTAGAGTTTTGAACTGTTCGCGATTGAATATACAGAAAATCTACCGCGTTTTTGCATTGTTTGTGTGGAAGAGCGCAGGAGAACCAATGCGAAGAGACAACCTCTTTAGACGCATATCCGAGGGCGGTCTCGGGCTGCCTCATCTGTTTCTCCGTCAGGTTGTCTCGCGTTTCCTTTTCTACGAGACCAGAGTAATTCACTTATACAGGTGATGCTTCAAACAAGGCTGGTCGAACACATTCCTTCCTTTTTCGTGTCTTCCCACATTGGCCCTCCTGCTAAATTAATGGGCTTCGTAAAAGAAGTGGTTGACTTTTTTAAGTTCCTGACAGTGAGGTACTCGCTCAAATATTTATCCCATGTTTCGCGCAGAAAATTGTACCGCGACCTTATCGATAATCTGTTTCCGGCACCGCTGTACAGATCTCTTATTGCGGGTGAACCAGGGCAAAACGTCATAGTTCGTGTGAAAAAAAAAAAAAAAAAAAATGTGGATTCCTCCGTCAGCCAAAACCTTTTTCTTCCGAGTACATAGTGACACCCTGTTTGTCAAGCTTTGGAAAGGCAAACGAGGCATGATCGTCCCAGGGGGTGTTAACAGCACACTGTGCAAAGTCCCCGAAACTATCGAACAAAGTTTTCTGTACTGCGGGGACGCAGTGTTTTTTTTGGGGGGATATCCTGCAACGAACTTAAAAAAAAGATCTGATTTTAACACCCCATTTTATTCTTTTCCCACCAGTCAGGACAAACGAGAACCTTCCGCTAGACATGATTATGGTGCTTCGGTTGTTTAGCATGTGGAAATCGCGGATGACGGTGAGGCACGCAGAGCAATTCCCCAGGTCAACGGGTACTTTCTTTATTGATTATGTTGCACAGGTGAAGAGTGCTTACAAAAAGAGCGAATACCCGCCTGTGTGGATTGGAGTGTTTGACAGCATCACACGCATGAAAGAATTTTAATCACCATCCGCGCATAACCTCTGTGCTTCCTCATTTTAAAAGTGTAAATAATGTATAAATACATGAACGTATGTGTCTGTATTCCTGAATAAGGGAATAAGAAAACTCCTGGTTAGCTCATTTGATAGAACGCTCCATTGGAAATGAGGAGATTCATAGTTCGATACCCCGACCAGGTGGATTTTTTTTTGGTCGCAGACCAGTCACCTGGCTCTGTACGGGGATTTGTGTTTGTCTTTTGTTCCTCTTCTCCAGAGATTATTTTCGTCATTCTTGTCCAGCTCGCTTGCACCTTTGCATTCAATTGCATCATCATCTTAACCTTAAAATGCGGGCCGTTCACCCTTGTTGATTTAGACTGGTGGCAGTTGACGAAACCCGTTTGCTCTACCTACGTCTAACTCTTGGTTAGCTCAGTTGGTAGAGCTCTCCACTGGAAATTTAGAGGTCCCTGGCTCGATACCAGAACCAGGCGGATTTTATTCGGTCGCGTACCAGTCACCTAGATCTGTTTGGAGATTTGTTTTCGTCCTTTGTCCCTCTTTGTTCCCCTTCTCCAGGGATTATTTTCGTCATTCTTGTCCGGCTTGCTTGCACCTTTGAGTTATTTGCATAATCCTCATAATATTAATATGCAGGCCGTTCACTCTTGTTGGTGTAGGACTGGTGGCAGCTGACGTCTGACTCCTGGTTAGCTCATTTGGTAGAGCACTCCACTGGAAATGGAGAGGTTCTGATTCGATACCAGAATCAGTGGGATTTTTTTGGTCACGCAACATTCACCTAGCTGTGTTTGGAGATCTGTGTTTGTCCATTGTACCCCTTGTGTCCCTTCTTTAGGGATTATTGTCGTCATTCTTGTCCAACTGGCTTGCACCTTTTCGTTGTCTAAATTATCATCATAACTTTAAAATGCAGGCCGTTCACCCATGTTGGTGTAAGATAAAACCCGTTTTCTCTACTGACATCTAACTCCTGTGTAGCTCAGTTGGTAGAGCAATCTATTGGAAGTGGAAAGGTCCCTTGTTCGATACCAGGACCATGCGGATTTTTTCCGTCACACGCCAGTCACCTAGCTGGGTTTTGAATATTTATGTTTGTCCTTTGCCGCCCCTGTTCCCCTTCTTCGGAAAGTGTTATCGTTGTTCTTAGTCAGCTCGCCTGTGCCTCTGCATTATTTACATTACGGAAAAATAAAGCGGCCGCATGAAAGCATTTTGCGACCATTCTTTGATATTTGTGAAGATTCAGGCACTACTAAACAGCTTCGAAAGAACATAGGGATGAATAAAAAATGTTATTTCTTTTCTACCGCGATCCGATTTGATTATTCTAAAATCAGTTCCTGTTTGCCCCTTACAAGCACGCTTTGCCGGATTATGACACAGAATGTGGGGAAGCTACATTGCGGGTTTGAACTCGTGCATCATTATTCTTGGGTCTGTTCAAATAAAATGTCGACCGGACACGCACGCGTGTCCGGCCGACATTTTTGTTTTAGAGAGCAGCTCTTATGGCGCATTCACACTGGAAGTAGATCCGCGTTCGCGAAGCGGTTGCGGATGAGGTTCGCGAGCGACCCCTTTCAGACACACCGAGAGGCGGTTGGCGGCTGGCGAGAGGCGGCTTGCGGTTTCTTAGCGATCACGCGCGATCTTTTGAGAATTGCGTTTGGCAACCCTGTTTTACAATCCAAAATCCGATTTAATCCACGATCCAAGGCTAAACTTTTTTTATTTTGGCACTCTGAAGATTTTCTTCGGGATGTTCGCATTCATCACGAGCTCAGGCAGCGAAAAACAAAGACATAGACCCACAAAACTCGCCTGTGATTCCCTCGACTTCGTCCACAAGCAAAGCCCAGCTAGGCGCGCCTTGCTGACTCAGAACTGAATGCCCCCGACCTTTCTTTGAAGTGGACCCTTCCCGTATGAATAGTTGACCTAGTTTTCGGGATAGAGGGCCAGTTTCTCCCCCTCGTTCGCTCTTGTCATTTTCGACGTTGTGAGCGGTGGGGTGAACCGTGGTGCGCGGGAATGTGTTCGGTGCTAGTCGGTCGTGGCTTCGTTGATGGCGGACTCTCCTCTCGTCACTCGCACGTCGATCGAGTCGACTGTTTGTTTGACGTTAAACTCAAATAAACGCCATATGGATTCACTCTGCATCGTCTGGTACGTACACTTTATTTCTAGGGTATGCTCTCCCTTTTTTCCTTTTGTTAGTAGTAAACGTTACAAGTCGAGCTGGTGCAGGTGCCCTG